TACAAAATATCTCATGAAATGGTGGTATTAGAATTAACTTGATTTAAGATTAATATGATATTTTAGAGATATTGAGCTACAATGTGGTGTGGTAGAGTCATTCCCAACACACAATGAGTGCTAACAGATCACACAAGATCTTTGTTTAAAACTTTTGCATGGGTCTCCAAGGAACACTACTTTCATTACTTGTTTTTTTAATTTTTATTTACTTTTAGCATTTAAGGAAAATATCTCACCCCAAACTAATAGCACCAAATAATCCCCGATTGTCACCTTATTCTGAAACATCAAACTGGGCATTGCTGAAATTATGACAACGGAGACGATCTCAGAGCAAAGACATCTGTTTGAACAATTCTCAATAAAATCACCAGGTCAAACAATATGTGCAAAAGCTTTCATAAACTTACAAAATGGATGAATAGGCCTGTTAAGATAACAAATTTTGCTGGGCGATTAATTGTCTCAGGAATTATTGCGATAAACGATAATATTGTTTTGAAATTTAACAATAATTAGTAATTGTCAAATTTTCGAAGAAATTATTTGTTTTGAGTGTAATACCTTTTTTGGACCACCAGACGGCAGTATAAGACTGTTTGAACCGAAGGATGGATAGTAGAGCAGCTGCCTCTTTAAGATAAATGGGAGGGAGGGCCCTTTGTGACGTAGGTTGACATGGTGGCATGGCGGACTCTTAGTATGGTTTGAGCCTTTGGCATAGTTTTTCACACAAAGCTTTTAATAAAAAGTCAGTAAACAAGTTCTCAGCTTCTTTTTGCAGAGAAAAGCAATTTTTTACACAAAGGCACAGGTTTCAACCGTGAATTTTGGAGCTTGACAAGATGGGAGTTTTTTTCTCCCGAGGTCGGCCTGTTAGCTCGTAGCTTAGATTCTCAGCTTAGCTGCTTTTAACAATCCAAAAACGCAATTTTGGTGGTTAAAACAGATTTTAAAGAGAAAAGAGAAAGGGAGGGGTCAGCGAAGAGCATCGGAGTTGAGCTTGTTGTCATCCAGTGTCTTCAGTAGAAAGAGAGAGATGCGAAGAAACGATAAAGCCAATAAATGAAAATGAGGAAGATAATTTTCATTTATCATGCGATTAATTGATTTATTGTTTATTGCGACAGGCCTACGGATGAAAGTATCAGAACGCAGCCTCAAAAAATAACCTCAAAGTGAAAAGAAACTTAGCAGGCTTTGGATCTGTTCATAAAGCGATCCATAACGGCACAGCAAAAGCCCAACATCCCTTTGTTACCACAGGTAACCTGAAAATTACCAGCAGTGCTCCATCCAGTCAAGTTCATAAATTATGACCTATTATGAACATTGATCAACACTTTGGAAGGAAGATCCACTTTAATATCAAGTGGATTCACTTTAAATATTTAGCCACAAGAACTGCAGGCAGCATTTGCAGATAGAGGCCTTCAGTAATGGTAATGATGGTACTCTTACTTTTCTATGTAAAGCTAAAAATAACTAGACCTTAGTGGAAACATCAGTATAAACCCAGGCTTGCATTATATAACATTCAGGCTGGGAGCAAATCAATTCACTCTCTGTGGTAATTTGCTCTGCAAAATTCTCTTTTAAAATTACCCTTACATTCCTCCTTGGGGTCTTTGAAGTGCATAAAGAGCATGAAAAATGATGGTGGAAACTTGCCCAGACTGCTCTCCTCGCAGAACAGAGCAGAACTTGTACTTAAATCACGGGCAAACTTTTTCTGCTTCCAACTTTTTTTCCTCCCTCTTCTGAGTTTTATGAAAATCTGAATTGATTACATTTTCAAACCATCAAAAAGCTTCATTAGCATTTCAGACGTCAGAGAATTAGATCTGTCTGACCTCCTCCTTCTTCAGTCAACCTCATGAACCGGCAAAGAAGAAGGGAGGGAGTTAGAGATAAGAGGAGGTGCAGTACAGAGAGAAAGTGATAAAAAAAAAAAAGTCTCTCTCAGCACCCATTACCATCTGAACATTTAATGACTGTTGAGTCAGCCTTTAGAAATACCACACATTTAAAGCAACAACAATTTTGCAATTATTCCAAAAGTGGAAAATTATATCCATTTAAAAAGGCAGTAAAGAGATGATCCTGCTGCATAATCAGCTGGAGGTAAAATCAGATTAGAAATGTATATTATTAAATACTAACGTGCAGAAAAGAAGCCTGAGGCTGATTAGTTTATCTTCTACCTTATAATGGCTAACCTTGGTAAATGTTGGCTGTTGTTGTGAATGAACTGCACACAGTTCACTGATAATAAGCAGTTTAAAACATATTTAAACACATTTTATTTTTCTTTGTTTGAAAAAAATATTATCCATTTGGATGAAAACCGTCCGGGCAGCACGGTGGCGCAACTGATAGAGCTGCTGCCTCTCAGCGAGCAGGTCCTTGGTTCAAACCCCGGTCCAGGGGCCTTTCTGGGTGGAGTTTGCATGTTCTCTCCGTGCATGCGTGGGTTTTCTCCGGGTGCTCCGGTTTCCTCCCACAGACCAAAAACATGCATGTTAGGCTGATTGGTAACTCTAACTTGTCCCTAGGTGTGAGTGAGAGAGTGAATGGTTGTTTGTCTCTATGTGGCCCTGTGATGGACTTGCGACCCGTCCAGGGTGTACCCCGCCCCTCGCACAGTGATTGCTGGACATGGGCACCGGCGACCCCCGTGACCCAAAATGGAATAAGCGGGAAAAGAAAATGGATGGATGGATGGATGGATGAAAACCAGAAACCACCAACAACGAAACAGAAAAAAAATTTCAAAGACTCAGCATTCCTTGAAGGAACGCACATCATCTTTTGCCTTCTGTGCCAGAGACTTTGACCAAGATCACCTTATGCTAAGATGCTAAGAAATTATAGAATTGTAGCTGTTATGATTAAACCTTAAATATCAACCTAATGCTATACTGAAAGATGTCAGCCTCAGAGTATGAGTTGTGAATAAACTGTCAGCTACTATTTACTTTAGAGTTACAGTAGTCCTTCGTTTATCGCAGGGATCCGTACCCTGAAGCCCGGTGACAAGTGAAAAACCGTGAAGTAGAAATAGTAGCACAAGTAGTAACACTCTTGCATTATTCTCTCTCTTTATCCCTGATCTGGTTTAATGGCCTTTTCTTTTGTTTAGTTTTTACCAAGAGACAAGAGATCTCTTTCTTCTCGTTCGTTGACGCCATGTCTGACATTGTGAGAAATGAAGGAATTTGCCACGAGCGAATTAAAATCAAGCCCGGCGTGGCTGCGGGAGGGTCTGAAGATTTTCTGGTGGGCCAGTCAGATGTGTGGGCTGCAGGGCCAGCGCTCCATTATTATTATTATTTTTTTAGAACTTTTTATTAACAACATAATAACACCGCTTCTCCTGGGCTGCCAGCTGCCTCTACCCAGCGCTGCTGGTAGTTCTCGTTTTTTTTTGGTGACCTGTCAATCAGTCCAGTGGGCGTGTCAGCAAATGACCAATTGGTGACCTCAATTTGTCCTGAAGGTAAACGCCCCTTGCCTGTGGAGCTGGGCTGCAGCCCATCAGGGTGTACGCTCGAGTATGAAGTCTCAACCATCTGCAGACAGTGCGTGCAGTGTCCGTGTGGCTCACGGAGCACACACAGTACGCCCAAGTATGTGGGAGCCTTTATCCAGCAGTGTGGGCTGCACAAATGTGCACAAGGTGCTAAATGATTTTAAATAATTTATTTTAAATAAAAGCTCCATGCTGATCGAGCGACTCATCCATTAATCAGCCGATGGTGTGTCATGTCCAATCTTATTTTGAAAAACCGTGATCGAGCGAGTCCGCAACAAACGAACCGCGAAGTAGCGAGAGACTACTGTATAGTCAATTTTTGTTGGCTAATGTTAGTTAGCCTTCAAAATGTCTGTGTCAGTGTAAGCAGGAGCTAAGATTTCCATTAGTAAGACTTCTTTTTTTTTTTTTTAATTGTTATATAAACTAAGATAATTTATCTTCCTTTACCTTACAGTGATCTATATTCTGTGCTTTGAGCATTGATGTCAGTGTGTCAGTCTCTTTAAGTCTGTCAAGACCACAAGCCGAGACTACAACCCACCCCAACAGCCCGCGGTTATTTATAACGCTCTGCATCATAAACTAACAAACCACAGGTGGTGAAGGTCAAAACCTCTTGAAAACCATTTAAAACCTCCTGCCTGTCTAAATACCCCGAGTACTTTCTTCATTTCTCTCCTCGCACGCAGCCTCCCCCTGCCAGTGTCACAGTGTCAGCTGCACTCACAGAGAAACAAACACGTCTGGGCGTACGTCCAGCCGCTTGGCCGACTGATGTATCTCTTAAAAGCTTCTGTTGCCAAGGAAGAACAATTCTTCAAACTGTCTCTTCTTCTATCTCAGTTTGTTTCCTGCTCTCTGTAATCAACGCAGCATGCAGTGCTGAGCCTACTTACCAGGAATTTCACACAATTATTATAAAACATCAAGAAAAACTTGTAGAAACTTCGCACAAGTGACAAAAACTGCTTTACACCAAACTGTGCTCGCTTCACTAACTGCAACCTTTGTTTCTATTTTTAAGTTTCCAAATCACACATTTCAAATATGTGTTATCTAATATATTTCCTAGAAATGCTCAACACAAAACAACTTCTGTGTAATCTATTCACCCGTGGACAGACTATTACGCCACTGCCGAGCCGCAAAAGCATTTTCAAAGAAACCGAGTCTTGTGTCTCACCAGCCCAATCGATTATCACCGAAACAAAAAACAGTTCTAATTTTTTGTTGGATACTTGTTTTAAAAAGAGTTTTAATGTGTTAAAGAAATGTAGTGGATCTGTAGTAAATCGTTCGCAATTCCAACACATTACCAGCCTTTAAAAAAAACGACAGCTAACACGTTTATACGTTTGATTGAGCTGGTAAGAATATAGAGGTTAAATGATAAGACTGGTGGTGAAAATAAATAAATAAAATAAAGAGGCAGCAGCAGTAACCACTGGGTAAGGTTTACCTGACGGAGAGGGTAAAATCCCCAGGATTGCTTTTGCTCGGTCGGGCCAAGAAACTGCCGTGGACTCCCCGGGTCAACAGGAGCTGCTCTGCCTCGATTCCGGTGATGTTGGGGTGGAACCACCTGCAAATTTGTCAACAACAGTTTAAGAAAAAGAAGGAAACTAAAAATAATAATTTTAAAGTGCATTTTAGACAGAAATGTCACTTTTGCAATCGAGCTGACTAGAACAACAAATCAATGACTGGCCTTCCTTATATCGCCCATCACCTTTCGTGTCAAAGTTTCCAACTAAGTTAATTTTAAGTAAAAAAAAATAATAATCATGCAGAGTTATAGGGATTTTTGTGTTTACATTAACTGTGGCAGTCACCTTGAATTTTATTGGTCCCAGAAGTTCTTCAGTTGTACAAGAATATGCAATGATTAAAGTCTGCCCAGCGGTTCATGAGATATTTTGCTAATAATCCGTGGTGTACAGTAACAGAGTGCATTTACTTGAGTACTGTACACAAGTTCTGAGTATCTTTACTTTGAGTACAGTATTTGTGTTTTTTGGGAACTTATGACTTTCACTCCACTACAATGCAATTGGCCAGTTGTTGATTCAGGTATTACGCTTGATTCATCTGTGCAGAACATTCAATTTTTTGTAAGCTTCTATGTTAGGTACGGAAGTACTTTCAGTTATCAGTGTTACAGTTTCCTCTCGTGTGTTACGTTGTTTTTTGTCAACTTTTACACACAAACAATGTGGTGTATGAATGCTAAAGCTGAGGAAAAAGACTAAATGTGCATCATCTTTTGCAGGGATGTCCAAAATCAGTCCTCAAGGACCAGTAACCTGCATGTTTTAATTCTCTCCCTGGTTCAACACAGCTGGATCAAATAATGGCAGAACATTGATATTGCTGAGCACGTAGTGACTATCACCAGGGAGAGAACTAAACCGTGCAGGATACCGGCCCTCGAGAACCGACTTTGGACACCACTGTTTGAGGGATTTTCATGACTTTCTACAGTCATGTAAAATGCAGGGAATATATTATTTGTGGTTTACAGATTTTATTAAGGCATGTGATGTTGCCATGTAGCAGAGTGGTTCTACATGTCAAGACATCGTCAGGTGGTTTCAGAGTTACAAGGTCCTGTAAAATCACTCAGAACAATACAGCAATGTACTGATGTTAGAAAATATAATTTGTACTTTGGGATATTTGAGCATTTTTAAATGCATGTACTTTTGAACACGTAAGTATTTTTCAAAAGTAAGTACTTTAACTTGAGTAAACTTTTGACTGTGAGCAACTTTTCTTGTAGTTGAGTAAGATTTGACCACGAGTATCAATACTTTACTCAAGTACTAGAGTTGAGCACTTTGTCCAACACTGCTAATAATGCACAAATATCACACACACATGCACACAAAATCCCTTTCACCTTACAGCTGCAGGTGGTAAAATCCTCACATACACAAAAGATGTTGTGGATTAGGAATCGTGAATATATTTGTTGTTTTCTTCCTTGATAAATGCCTTTAATGTCTTCATGTCCTGTTCTGTTTAAAGGGAAGTACAACTTAGTTTACCATTCTTAAGCTTTTACTTCCTCTGCTGCTCAACCCTGCTGGTAAATATTTATCACGTCCACTTCCCGGGTTGAATGAGCATAGTTAGACATAAACCAAGTACAGGTGCCCTCCGGCCCTAAACCTTAACATATTGTAATCTTGGGTAAAATTCCTGTTAAATGCATGAGGCAGAAAACTACTCTTGAAGAGGCAGCAGTCTACATCCCAGTGAATGGCTGTAGGTCATCTGTTTGGATTTAGAGCTCATGTTTAAGCAGGGATCACTGGGTTAAACCCACTAACTACTGTGTTCCATTGCTGGCTAATGCCCCATTAGCCAGCAGGGGCCCCATTTGTGCGTCAAGACCAAGAGTGTTGACAAAACTGACTTGCAATGGCAATTTTTTTTATTTATTTATCTTTGTGAATCAGCGCTGACTGAAAAATGTGCACATATTCTGAAGCATAAGTGAGGCAAACAAATTTAAAAAGTACTCTAACAACTCAATAAACCAAATGGAATCTAAATGTAAATGGACTGTACTTGTATAGCGTCTTTCCATCTTATCGAGATACTCAAAGTGCTTTACAACACAATCTGTGCCCTCATTTACCCATTCATACAGCACTCTACTACACCTTTACAAAGAATAATCAGTGCTTTATCACGTTCATACACCGATGGGATACTCATCAGAGGCAATGAGAGGTTCAGAGTCTTGCCCAGGGACGCTTCGGCATATGACTACTGGTGGAATCGAACCCCCAACTGCTGCATTGGAGGACAACTGCTCTAACCATTCAGCCAATGCCTTAGTGACGACTAAAACATGAGAGAAACACTTTTAAAGCCCATCACAAGGATGGACTAAATCAGTGAGTATTAATTAGACGCCTCTGGGGCACATACTACTCATTCTTTAAAGCTTGAGATCTCAAGTTTGACTCCGACATAGGCCATATTTGCTTATTTTTTGCCCATCTTGGATATAAGTAGGCATTTATTTGATGTCTACGACTAGTTTTAGACATCTACAAAAATATTTTTTAAACAAAATTCTCACTGGGGTACCCTAGGTAAAAATTGCACACATTATTTATTTGAGACTACAGAGCAGAAATGAACATACGAAAGCGGATACATTTGTTGGTGCCCTTCCACTGTAGCAATAAAAAAAAAAGAAATGTGGCTAAACAAAAAGCTTTTGTTTCGTTTCATCAATCCAGAGCCTTTTCCCGGAAACTTTGAGGTTTGTCAACAAGCATTTAAGATGAATTTCAGTCTGGCTGTTTTGTTTTCCAGTCAGTGGTGGAGCCCTCCTGGGTCTTCTTTCATTCTTACAACACAAAATGTGACAGATGGTACGATCAGAAAGTGACATATCTTCACCTAGGAGTTCAGCTTGACTGGTTTCGTTGGGGTGGCACCAGTGGTGTAGTCTACATTTTTGTAGTGGATATACTGTGCTTAGAAACTAAAGTATGCCGGTTAGTACAATGTAATTGTCAATTTATTTTTGATTTTAAAGTATATTGAACATTTCCAAATTTCTCTGATGCTTATAATTGAATGAATGCACAACAAACTTTGTACAACAGTTGGCTTTGTATTAAAAACATGTTATAGAATGTTACAACAGTATCAGAACAGTATCAAAGCCAAACACGTTCAAGTATTAAGTATAGAATTATTAAACAATTCACTGGATAAGCAAATATAATAAACAAGCACTGCATACAGATAGATTGTTATGGAAGTGTTTAGCTGCCGTTTAACCTATCAATGGCACATGCCCAATGATGTATTACGCATCACTGGGCACTTTTAAGTGGGTATACTGAAATTCTTAAGCTTTTCTAGTGGATATACTCCACATACCTGCGTATCGCGTAGACTACACCAATGGGCGCTCAGTTGGTTGAGCTATTGCCTCTCAATGAGAAGGTTGACAGATCTAATCCGAGACTTTCTGGGTGGAGCTTGCATGTTCTTTCCGTGCATGCGTGGGTTTTCTCTGGGTACTCCGGTTTCCTCCCACAGACCAAAAACATGATTGGTAACTCTAAATTGTCCCTAGGTGTGAGTGAGACAGTGAATGGTAGTTTGTCTCTATGTGTCCCTGTGATGGACTGGAGACATGTCCAGGGTGTCCCCTGCCTCTCGCACAGTGACTGCTGGATATGGGCACCAGTGACCTCCACAAACCATAAAGGAAGAAGTGGGTAAAGGTAATGGATGGATGAATAGTTTCCTGGACTCTTTTTCTGTTTTTTTCTATGTTTGATTAACACGGGGTTGCATTTCTTCTTGCATCCATCTTCTGGGCCAGAGGAATATTAAGCTGCTTCAAGATGGTCTTGTAGGCTTAACCTTTAACATGAATATCTAATATGTTTGAGTTCTTCAAACAGCTGTCACCTTTGCTTCTCTGCTCCATGTTCAGTGTGGTGCAAAAACAACTCCAAACTACCCGGTGGCTGTTTTCTCCCTTTAAATAGCCTGAATAACTGAGTGCCTGCGGTCTGACAGCGAAGTGCTCTGTTAGGAAAATATGGAACAATAAGAACTGTAATATAAAATGGAGCTAGGTTGTTGAGAGCTTTGTGGGTTAGAAGTAAGATTTTGAATTCTATTCTGGATTTGACAGGGAGCCAATGAAGAGAAGCTAAAACTGGAGAGATATGATCTCTCCTAACTCCAGTTAAGACTCTGGCAGCAGCATTTTGGATCAACTGAAGACTTTTTAAAGACGTTTTTGGACACCCAGATAACAAACCATTGCAATAGTCCAGTCTAGACAAGACAAATACATGGACCAGTTTTTCTGCATCATTTAAGCCCGTTTCTAATTTTAGCGATATTACGCAGGTGGAAGAAGGCGGTTCTAGTAAGATTTTTAATGTGGGGGATAAAAGACATGCCCTGATCCAAAATAACACCAAGATTTTTAACATTGGAGCTGGAGCCAGATTAATGCCATCCAAGGAGGGTGAAAGACTGAAAAATTTATTCCTAAAATGCTCAGGTCCAAAAACCAAAACCTCAGTCTTGTTTGTATTCAAAAGCAGAAAATTTAGGGTCATCCAGGTTTTTATGTCTTTAAGACATGCTTGTAGTTTAAGTAGCTGATTGGATTCATCGGGTTTCATGGACAAATATAACTGTGTATCATCAGCATAACAATGAAAATTTATCCCATGCTGTTTAATAACTTTACCTTATGGAAGCATATACAAATAAAGAGTACTGAACAACTCAGACTATACAAAAATACAGTTCATTTCCCACTGTGGACTTCTGTTTAAAGCCAGAAACATACTTTTAAATTAGATTCATCAAGAGCAGGATAAATAATTTTTTATGGCAATGGCCAAGACCAAATGAGTCATGGAAATCAAGCATTTCACATCCTAAACCATAGCCTTTCACAACTACCCTGTGGCACATTACAAAAGCTTATTATTGATCAATTTTACCCAGCAGAGAGGAGGCGACACAAGCGCACCTCCATAACACTCAAGCTGAGTGATCATATCTGAAAGCTCCAGCAGT